ATTTTTGACTTGTACTCCGTTCCCATATAAGTGAACTGGCCCAACGAGAAGTTATCGAAAGCATACGTACGCTCGCCAAACTAGCCTTCTGGATTAAAGTTTCCTCGGTTCCGGCCGTGAACCAGTCGTCTGCCAGAGTCTTTCGTAAATATCTTCAATACAAATTCGGTCTGATCTTCATACTTCACAAGAATTGCATTCGGGGGAACTTTTGCCCTCTTGAAAATCACACCGAACTTTTAATAGACTTATAGTATGGCGAGTGCTGCGTGCAGCATGCGTATGTTTGTAAAAGTTTCATCATTACTAGCATACCAGCGTGAACGCATTTGCGAAAACATAGAAATAATAATCAGCAGCATTAGGCATATTGACTAACCAGGTTAGTGTTTTTTAAGAAAAAAATTTTTTTTCTCGATAATGCCCAAGTTCCGAAGACGTAAAAAATAGCCGTAAATTAGAAAAATAAATTAAAATCTTTTCAGTAGTTGAAAGTGGAACGTAACCAGTTTCTTTATATAAAATTAACTTTTGCTTAATCAAAATATTTTGTACATATTACCATTAGTTGATAAGTATTTATTGAATATTGTCGAATAAAGTCTGGCATCATTTCGATCGTTTTTAGTGTCAGTATCAGTATATTGAGGGATATGTAGGAAAAATTCTTTTGAGTGCCCTATTTGTACATATGTGCAGTGGATGCAGAAAATTTGTTTCCCAGACTGTTTTCCTGTGTCATAGGATGGAAAATAGGGCCAGACAGTGAAAAAACTCCTCAGAGATTTTTAGGAGAAAAACTGTCGCTCTTTCAGACAGTGAAAAAAACTCCTCAGGGATTTTTAGGAGAAAAACTGTCGCTCTTATGGGGGGAATGCGTGGGATTTAGGAGAAAAAAGGGGTTCTAACCGGGGGGGGGGAATTGCAAAGGTTCCCAGGATCATCACCATGTGGAAGCCGTGTCCTGATTCTTCCTTGCTGATTTCAGAGTCTGCCAACGGAACTGGAAAAAC